CCCTTTTTTCTTTTTTTTTAAAACCATTCTCGGGTGGATTTAGATGTACAAGATGCATTGTCCTCCTGAAATATCCAGTAAGCATCACCTTATAAAGACCCAAATGGTATCAGACGATTGTAAGACATAGCTTGATATCGGATCAGAGTTCATACGTCCCGAAATTCGCTGTCAACTGTACAATCCATCATGGCACTAAAGACTCTCCAAACCATTACTAATACTCCTCCATTGAGGAAGGAACTGAAACATTCTTTCGATTCCTTCCTCAAGTCATGCCCATAGTGTTTGTAGTCATTGGGACAGTCAAGGTTAAAATTCTTTTCATCCGAAAATATTTGTTTCCCCTCGTCGTTCCATGCCATAACATGTTTAGCCTATTCGAGTCTGTCTTTTTGATGATGTTTCAATAACTTCTGTGTTTTCTTCATTTTAATAAATTTTGTATTAGTATTTTTTGAGACTCTTCCAAATAGTGACATGTATTTTTTTTTACTGAAACGTTTCGAAATTTTACGAATCGAAAGACCTTTTCTTGTTGATAGTCGAAAACTCTGTCGATCATTCAGTGCTGTCAAAATCCTTTTTTCTTCCAGATAATTTTATTTTGTTTGAATCATCTTTTATAATCACGGCATTGTGAATGGCAATTTTAGAACACTTACATCCTCAAATAAACACACCCACTACATCCTCAAATAAATAGTGTTATAACACAATCAAAACCTACTCCTTTGCTTCTCAGGTAATGAGGTTATGAAAAAACTAAAGCATGCATTTTATAATTATTTTGATATGATGCATAATATGCCAATTTTCTCAAGTGGTCTTAGAATTTTTTTAACATACACCATATTCAATTTTTAGAAAGATGAGTAATTTCTTAAGTTCTATTAAAATCTAATCTAAGTTGCTATTTGTATAGAAAGTTTTTCCCGATCTCTTTTAAATACACACGTTTAAAATTTGTATGATATATCTTCTTCAGAAATGAATAAATTCGAAAGAGGTGTAACAATTTCTTAATATACTGTAATTCAAATTCGTACTCATACAGCCTCCACTGAAGGAAACTGAGAAGGTACTAGTGAAATTATCAAGTAAAATCAAGGTACAAATACATATTAATACATTTTGTACGAAATTGAAAAAAAAAAACAATCGCTTATAAAAATTTTACCACATAGGTTTTAGTGAAATTTGCATTATTTTATTATTACAAGTTGTATTCATATTTCTGAAGATAATATAATTACCTGTTTTAGGCAGCGAAGTTTTTATATTAATAATTATGTTCTTACATAAATTACAAATATTTCATTATTGACATTTAATAAAATATTTTACTACTGTATTAATACAATTTTATTTATTACTCGTTTGTATGTATTTTTATAATACATTAAAATTTGTTATGGACTTTTCTCGTGAGAGTTAACTGGAATGCGCTGTAAATAGTTGAAATTTCAAAAACTGTCGTGGTTTTCCTCCAAGTATTCTTACAAAAACACTATCACTAATTTTAGAGGTAAAAATAAAATCTAAAAAAGAACTACTGTTAACTGCATCTAATTTTTTTTTTACTTATTAAAATATTTAAATAAAAGATCTTATTCAGTTGGACACAAACGTTAAAATCGGGAGGAAAAATCCATATTTAATTAGTAGGAGTTAGTTCCTTCTATTTTTAAAGCCCCTCTCCCCCTTTTTTTCAAAAAAAAAAAAAAAAAAAAAAAAATGATACTGAAAGAAATTTTTACAAAATAGTTCTGCTTATAAAATTCTTCGATTATATTTTTATCCATTTTCTCATATATGAGAGAGAGAAAAGAGTATAAAACTAATACATAACAGTGAATGAAAGTACCACAGTTTTACATATGAATTATTTATAATGTCTAAAAGACTATTTTTAAAGTATGTAATTCTTTATGATTTACATGATTTCCTGACACCATTTTGCTGTTTCACAAGAGAAACTCTGTCAAATTTTAGATTTATTGTTCTTTCACTTCTCTGTTGCAATCGATTGGATTTGTTACATATTATTAATGTCTTATAACGTGATGTTTTATAGTTTTGTCTCGTTTTATCGTTCAGAAATCTCGTTAAAAATGTTTACCATTTTATAAAATGTTATCAATGTCTTTTTCTTCCATTTATGACCGAAACATTGCAGGTATAATTGCAAGAGAAGAAAATGGCTTGTTTTTGTTACATATTATCGCCTCATCTTATAACCCATCAATGTCTAAATAGATATAGACAAGGCTCATTTATGAGCTCCAATAAACATGCATACTATTTTGCAAATGGAAAAAAAATTATAAATTTCTTTTCCTGAATCTACCGATTTACAAATCTTATTATAAATGAAATTCCTCATCAGTAGCTAAAATATGCAGTTCTAATGTGAGGTAAAAATTAAGCTAAGCTATACTGGATCTTGATTTAGGTAATTTTTTTAGCATAAGCGCATAGCCGTTTTAAATCTTGGTGGAATCTAGAGCTTTCTGGTATTTGAGACTCCTTCCAACTCTTTGCAATCAAATTATATAAAAGAACATTAATTAGTCCCTCGATGAAAATTTACTTGCATTAATTAAGGCAGGAAATTTACAGGTAGGAATTAAGACCGAAAATTTATAAGCTTGAATTATGGAACGAAATTGACATCTTTTTGTGGTTTTTCACCGGACTTCTAAGCTTCAACCTAAGAGCATAGTGTAATATATAGACATAGTTATATTTACCGTATTAGTAATAATTGCATTGTAATTAACTGATAATTGTTTTATTCAAAATCGTATCGACATCCGATTTTTTTCTTTATAGCTACAGAAGAGTAAATTAGATACAGTATAGCTCATTTTAAATCCAGACAAGGCGAGTTTCTTTTCGAAAATACAAAAAGTACTGGTATATGGGAGAAATGATTTGTGGCGAGAAGGGAAAAATGAATAAAATTGAAGATTTTTTCACTGTTTTGTAGGTGATGGAATATATCTATACATCGCGTGTTTAAATGCACGTTACCTTTTGACTTTCATTTCCGATAACGTGCGTTTGCTCGCGTTGTGTGAATCAAATGCCTCAAACAAACTCAATTTAAACATTGCGGGGAAAAAAAGACGCAAGTCGATTCTTTTGATTACAAGAAAGCTAAAAACTTTGTTTTAATAAAAATCTATGCGATTATACTTATATTTTAAAATTGATTTGGAATTAATTCGAAAAATTAACAAACTATATCGAATTACCATAACGTTCGATTTTCAGCTTGTGATACAATTTTCTACTTTAATTATTCGCAACTATTTCATTCAAAATTTATGTGGTAATGTTTATCTAGGTAGATTTCCACTTCAACTACTTTCCAGTTTTAATGCACATCTAATTAAATATGTCCTAAACATTTAAATTAAATATTAAACACATTTGGTTATGCTGTTTATTTAAAGAAAGCGAGATGTATATCGATATTTCTTATTGTTAAGAACTTTATTTTCCTCCCAATGGTGTGCAATTTTATAACGTTGTATCGAATTGCAGACATTCTAGACGCCTCATACGAAGAAAACAAGATAAACCAACAATATTATATCCATATAACGTGACTTGTATAATAAGCAGAGACGATATTTATCCCTCCAGAGGACACCCGAGTGTCTATTGGTTTCTTAATTAGAGTGCTGTAGTAAAATGTTCGCAAGATAACTCGTTTATTTCTATATTCTCCATAATAGCATCGAAGTCACGTATAACTAAATTTTTACAAGAGTTTCCAGACAATTGAATTAGTATACAGCCGTAATCAACGGCGCCAAATTTCTGGAGCGAGCACGAAGTAATTCGATTAAACAACCTATTTACCAGGACCATACTCGACGAATTTCGCGCCGAATGCCACCGAATAATACAACACCACCAAAGCGTAATCTGGCATGAAGATTGATCAACTGGAGTAATTAGTATGCCATTGATACTATGAGATTCACAGACACAGGGTGATAAGTATTTAGGGGAAAAGATATTCTACATTTAAGAAACTATGCGGAGTAATTCTTAATAGAAGATAAAGCAGTCTTTTTAATACAAACGGAGACTTAGCCAAGGACTTCGCTTTTTGTTTGGATTCGAGTGCTGCTGCCTAGACCCTTTCGAAAGTTCACTACCCGATGGCAAATTGTTTAGAAGTAGCTCACACACACAAATTGTCTAGAGATTAGCGTGAGAGTAAGCTTGGGTTTTCGAGACTTTGCCAAGAGTTTCTGTCGCACGTTTCGGTACGACACGCACTCTTGGAATAGACGTTTCAATTATTTCGATAGAATGAAGTAATAAGAAACTTAAGTATGTGGCTTGATGGATTGGTATGATTCAGGAAATTAGGAGGAGTGCCTTTAGTTTTTCTTTTCGTTTCCTGAAATGAATGATTGTCAACCAAATAGAAAGAACTATTGTTTTGAGTTTTCTCGTTAGAATGACAGTTCTTAAAAAGAGTTGATTTATTTAACTTTAATCTTAAATAAATTTATGAAGTCTTAGAGCTATACAGTAGGCTGTGAATGTGAGTGATGGTGAAGTTTAATGGCACAATAGCCATAAATGACTATGCGGGCTTAGGTGTAATTGTGATCTAGACGTTTGAAAAAATGGAAAAAAAAAAGATAAAAATTGGTTGACAAGGAGAGTCGAAAATAGAAAAGGATCGCTAGGGTTTTCCGGAGGTCGCCCGTGTTTACCAAAGACAGTAAACTCCCATAGGAGAGAAAAATATCACTCGGATGCCTCGTATACAATACACTGCCGGTGTTTGTAATAATTTATTGATGTTACTTTGAGAAGTAGCCCGAGGGCTATTGGCAATGGACCTCGTAATTTTGAACTTCGGTCAAGTGACGAGGATGACACCTAAACTGTCACCTCCCTTTCCTAACTTCCACACCACTACAAGGGAGGACTTCGGGGCCCCTACAGAATTAACGTGCATCATCCCCGGCTACACGGCGGGTCTTAAGTGGCATCAAGGCACGAAACCACGATCCAACGAAAACCGCGGGCTCCGAGTCCGCTGCCTTAACCACTAGGCTACCGCAGCCTCCAAACCAAGCCAATGGAAGGATTTAGGGCTTCGATAATTACGTACACGTCTAGTAATAGGGTGGGATTTAGGCTGACAGAAATATAAGAAAAGTGTCTGGTTCGGCTGAAATACCATTGTGTAATATTCTAATGACATTCTTTAAAACTTATAAGATAAAATGAATAAACAAGAATCAGACTTTAGGTTTATTTTTTAAATTTTTTTTCCACGTATTCAAGGGATTTATAAAGTCACTGTTAATTTGAAGTTACTCTAAAGCTCATTAACTAACAATTGAATTTTTAATTACTGTGCCTTTATTTAAATAACTAACAAATTTTTGAAAAATGAAGAGCCATTTTAAGCACACTATACCTTTTTACGGAAACAAGGATATCCGTTAAGTAAAGCGCATGCCAATAAAAGATATATTTAATTAAATGACTTATAAAATACCGGAAGGTGTAAATAAACAAGGTAGAATTATTTTTAGATTTTTCACAAGTATAAGATTTAAGGTTGTTAATAAAAAGCCATTTGGCGCAAAAAAAAAAAAAAAAAAAATACCTTTTGGCAAATCTTATCTATATGGTTTAATTTTTTTAAAAAATAAACTGATATTTATATACATTTGTACTAATAATAAACTCGAGAACTTGGCTGAGGATATGGATTTAAAGTATGGCGATCGCGCGCGCGCGCGACGCCATTCTAGAAGTTGGACTATTTCCTGTTCCGCAAATTTCTTACTACGAAACACGTGATGCAATATCATTACTGATGACATACGCATTTTTATGGTTGGCACGGAAGAAATTATGGTCAAAACTAAGCATGGAAGCATGCCAAATGTTCGCTACTTTTCTTTATGGACTTTAATTCAACTCTCAACGATGCTCCTAACCATAACATTGATGAATTTCGAAAAAACGCATTTTGGTCGAATGACCATTTGGCGGTAGCTTGTAAAATGTTGGTTAGGAAGAAGTAAATTGAAAAAAAAAAAAAAAAAAAAAAAAAACGTAAATCATCATATTTCTTGTTAATTCTATTGATGAATCAAGGTTCGTGTCTGGATCACATCCATAATAAAATGGCATAAGAAGTCTTTCTGAGTGTGAGGGGTTTAATGGTGCAATAGCCAGATATGGCAATGAAGAGCCAAAAAAGGCGCAACTGTGGTCTAGATATTTGAAATATATATATATAATTGATTAACAAGAAGGATCACTGGGGAGTCCCGAAGATACGTCTCCCATGTTTACCAAAGACAGTAAACCCCCACTGGAAAGAAAATGACTTGCTTCGACGTTATAATGCCCGTACCTATCTAAAAAGATAAGCTTCTGAGAGGAGAAGTCATTCTGAATTTGATTATTCGTCTTTCTAGTTTTGATCTTCCAATCAAGTTGAAGTCACTCCAACCACCAGTTAGTCATTGTGTGAGATATAATCTATAATGCATTAGTTTTTCGCATTGCACTTGAGACATGTTATTATGTTTGTATTTATCATAACAAAGTAAAAAATAGAAACCACAATTTTCAATGGAGTACAATTTTATCTTTCGAAAAAAAAAAAAAAACTTTCACGTAAATTAGTTTTTTTTTTTGACTAATTTAAATAGTAACTATGTGAGAGGAACAATAATGTGAGGAGAAAATATTAATTCATTTATAAACTGGATGGATATTACTTCACCTTTAAAAATGGATTTAGCAAATATTAGGAGCCACTTTTCAACGTGTTTTCCGAAGTTGATGTTTTAGATTATTTCTGATCAAAACTACCTTTTTTGTTATGACAATACGAAGATGGTACGTTTGATCTTTTTATGCACAACAATTACATAAAAACTACATTTCGTAGCGATAAGAGACAATGTAATGTTATTTTAATCACATACAATAATTCTCTTTCTTATTTATAACGGATTTAATATTCCTGATTTTCAATTTTTCATTAAATTTTTTTTTCAAAATTGAGATAATTTTTACGTTGTGCCTTATAAAAATATGTAAAATGAAATGAAAGACAGTGTTTTCAATTTAAAACTCAACAATATAATATTGTAATTTTGAATGATTTTTATTTTTATAAATCTTTATAATTTTCGTATATTTCGAGGTAGTTGATTTTTAAAGAATAAATGTTTTTAAATTCCTTTTGATACCTTATGAAGTAGTTGCAATGCATGTGAAGTACTTAATGAATTAGTATGTCAAGATGGGTGATGATATATATCTCATATTACACTTAACACACTCACACGTAAAAATTAATTCGTGAAAATACATTTAAGGTTATTTTTATAAGCTTTTATTTCTCTTACTATATGTGTGTTTTTCCAGAGAGAGTTCAAAATTTGTACTCTAATTTTATCCCACTTATCAAACGATCTCCCAAATCCTATATAAATTACATCGATCACCACACCTGAGACTCACCCAGAGATGGCGCCTGTAGTAAACCAGTAAATCAGGTCTTCTATACTACAAACTTTGCTTGAACGTACAAAATCTTAAGCCAGATCGGACCAGGAAATATATTTTTGAAGTGAAGTGAAAAGGTTTTTCCAAGGGTGCCAAGTGATTGTTTCTTTGATGGAACAAAACAGCAACGAGTCAGATGATTCAGAAAGTTGTTTATCATATTTACTCGCAAATAAAAGATTTCTTGCGGGAAAAAGATTTGAAAAGTTGAACGGATTGTACTGTCTTAAAGGTGATTACAATAAAAGGTGTTATGTTGATGAATAAAAATTTTGCAAAAATGTTACTTAATGTTATCTGGAGCAGTTGATCGATGTGTTTATATATATATATTGGATTTGGGAGTGAGCTCGAACCGGGCCTTATAGTATAAAGTTTACCCACTTATCTATCGATCGAGCTGAAACCCCTTATTATAGTATGCTGAAACAGTTTTGGATTTGTTAGTTGACTCGGGGCAGGCTATTTTACTAGAATTTTTACCCACTTCTTATCTTCCGATCAAGCTAACATTTTACAAACACGTGTAACTCCGATGACAAGCATAACTGTGGTATGCTCAAGCAGTTACGAACTTGGGAGAGAGAGAGCTGAAGCTCTACGTCTTGCACTTAACTTCCGAGCTGAGATTTTGCCTACACGTATGGCTCACGTAATGGCCAGACTAAAGAAATAAAAAAAAAAAAGTTAAATTTTCTTAAAAATTAAACTTTTATTTAAAGATCGACCACAAAATACATAAAATAATTTTAAATGTTAAATACATACATTATGAAAGCTTATATATAATATCAAAAGAAGTATTAATACTAAATACCTATTGCACTTAATTTATCAGCCATTGCCTATATATCTTAGTTACAGAGCCTCAAGATTTTATAAATTATTTTAAATTATATAAAAAAAAATATTCTTATACTATTTAGTCCATCTTTAAATAAAAGCTTTATAAAAAAAACTTTGTTTTTGTTTATTTTTATTGTTGATAAATGCGTAAGAGGTATTTCATGTTATGGAAAGAAATATACCTTCCTAAAACTTTTTAAACTTTTTACTCGAAACAAATAGTCATAAATATACTTTTAATAACAGTATTTTACTACAGCTTAGGAAAGCCAAAATCAATAAAATATATTTAAGAACAGTTTTGATTTCGTTAGGTTGAATAGGGATTTGAAAGATGCACAAGAACTCCATTCATAGCCCTTCTGTAAAACCTTTCCTTGATCCTTACAAAACTTTTTGTCACCGATCGTTCGAGGTTTGCCCATCGTAATAACACAGAATAAACTGCGATCTTTCCTTTGATCAGGGACATCGTAAAGTTTTTGCGTGAATGAAGAGAGCGTGGTAATGTGTGTCAGGTGTTTCAGAATGTACTGAAAATTCGTAGTGCATTCCGTGTGGACAAAAAGAAAAAAAAAAAAATGATTCAGAAATCAAACATCCGTTTTATAGAAGGACCGTAACCTTGGTTGTGCCCAAATTCGACCACCTGTTGCAGTTTGTCAACTCACCTGCATGATCAGAATTTTTTCGGAAAATTGCAGAATTATTATAGTATGAATTTCAATAAGGAAATTTGCTCAAATGGAAGCTTACGAGTAAACAAATATGAGTCATATTTTAAGGAAATTTTTATATATATTTAACATGCAGGAATTCATGCCCTTAAAGGTGATAAGAAGACGTAGAAAATCACATTTTGATTATTAATGGAGTTAATAATTAAAATTCCGTATATCAGAGTATTGAAAATAATTCAGATGGATTGTTTTGATCGAATCATTTGTAACGTCGTACTTAGAAACAACACGAGGTTTCTTAAGGTGGATCAATTTAAGTACATCATTGAAAGTTAAAATTTTTAACCAATATATATATATATATATATATTTGTAAAATAATTTATAAAAAATCTTTCATATAAATCTTTGCCCAAACGATTCGAAATATCCAACACAGCTTTATTACGAAGCTAGCATAAATCGGGAAAATTCATATATATATTAAGTCGAGGTGTGACTATTATATAACGAGACCAACACTGTAAAACATTTTGTTTCGAAGTCATAACGTATTTACTTATTATCACCTTCAACATACACCCCTCCACAATCTCTACAATGCTCCATGCGAATCTTCCATTGTTCGAAACAGTGTTGAAAGTCTTCTGTCAGCTCCTTCAGGACGAGTGCCTTTCCTGACGAGTGCTCCTTCAGGACGTTCTCTTTCACAGCTTCAATGACTCAAATCTTGTTCCTTTTGATGCAGATGTTACCTTAAAAAACAGATAGAAGTCGTATGGTTCAAGATCCAGTGAATGAGGTGGATAGTATAACACTGGGATGCTGTATTTGGCTAGAAACCTCTTGACAGACAATAGGGAATGAGTCGACGCATTGTCTTGGTGGAAAAATTTGCCGCACGTATTCTTTGTCAATTCCTACAGTCTCAGCAATCGCACGAATACTTAACCGACCTGATCAAACCTCATTACCGATTTTTTCGTCATTGTCATCC